ATAAACTATTTTTATGTCATTGTCGACAATGTGCGCGCAAGCTGTTATCCTAGGTTTGAGGCTCTTAAACATCATGAGAGCATATTTGGCTTCATGTATAATATAAAAAAATTAAAGGAAATTAATGATAGTGAACTTTTAAAGCAATGCAGCGACTTGCAAAAATCTATGACAGTAGGAGAATTATGTGACATTGATGGATATGAATTGTACGAAGAACTGAATATGTTCATCCGTGTGTATGAAGGAAACTATGACATTATCTCGGTGCTAAAATACATAATAGAAAAAAAATTAACTGAAGTTTACCCCACTATCGAAATAGTCCTGAGAATTATTGCTACCACACCTGTTACAGTTGCGTCTGCTGAAAGGAGTTTTTCGAGGCTTAAAATTATTAAAACATATTTGAGGAATTCGATGACACAAGATCGGCTTTCAGACCTCGCTATTCTTTCAATCTAAAATGACGTAGCTTATTCGTTAGATTATTGTGCTTTAATTAAAGATTTTAGTCTTAGGAAAAGCCGCTAACATCAATTTTAAAATTTAGCATCTCTGTATTTGTTAATTTTGTAAATCTTTCAATGTAAAATATTTTAAAACTCAAATTTATTTGTATAATTTAAGCATTTTTCCTTAAACATGACAAATACCTAAACCAAACAACCAGACCTACTTTCGCATCACATACTTTTAACAAAGGACAAAAGACCTCGCAAAGACCTTCCGCCCGGAGCCTCGCAATGGGTAAGGCCGCCTCTGGTCCTGGCCATGGATCCTGATCAGGATAATCGGCCAAATTTATCAAATTGTATTGTCATCGGTTCTTGATAAGAGTGCGAAGTTTGAATTCAATCCGACGTTTTAAATTGGGTGATAATCACGTTCAAAGATTCTGCTACATGAATACATACATACCAAGCTAACAGGAGCGTTTTAAAAAAACGAAGGACGTTGCGTTATTGATTCTCACGTTGGTTATGTACAACCCATTAATAAAAATATTAGAATTAATCTTCAAAAGTAGGCGATATATTATAACGCCTTCTCGATAATTTATCACTTGCGTTCTACAGCGGTCATATTTTATAATATTATTTATTATGGTAACACTAAATTACAACGATAATAAAGTATTGCGAATTAAACAAGTAACCTACATAGCTCAGATATTATAGATCACAATTTTATGTCCATTAAATTCGCAGGTATTAATATTGATTTCGTCAACCATTTAAAAAGCTGTACCTCGATATCAGTAGATATTTTTTTCTGAATTAAAGCTACCTTATCTACTCTTACGTGTATGCCAAATTTTATAACATCAGTTAAGTAATTAAGGCGTAAAACCATTACAAACAAACAGACATTCGCATTTATGATATTCGTTATGATATGTTGGTGAATGGTTATAATTGTAACATATACGATGATTTATTGGCTCGCCTCCACACTGCTATGTTCATTGAATCATGTTGATATTTGATTTAGCAACTGGCTTTGTTTAATAAACGTAGCATGACTTATAAACTTCTAATAATGATAATATTGTACCACATTCACACAACGCCATCTAGTCCCAAACAAAGCAGAGCTTGTACTACGGGTACTAGACAACTGATATAAATACATATTTACTTTTTTTTTGTAAATACATACATATTATACATAGAAACACCCAGACTAAATCAAACATTAAAAGTTCATGCAAACAAATGTTTGACTTAAGCGGGAATCGAACCCGCGACCTTCGAAATAGCAGTCCGTTACACAAACCACTACGCCATCCGATTCGATTATTAAGGTTTTATTTTGCTGTTTACTGCCAAATAAAATACATGGAGCCTACGCGTTTTAACATTTTTCTCAAAAATAATAATACCATCATCAAGTATTGTTGGATAACTGTAAGTATGCACAGCGTATTAAAATACATAGCACATGTTTAAAGAAAATGTATTCTCTTGTTTGGCCTTGAGACAATTTTAAATTAGTCTAAAACTCCAAAGCCTTATTGAAAACTATTTTTTCTTTTCCGTACCGTACCGATATCATCTAAAAAGAAACAATAATTATATTGATAGACATATTTTTTTAGTACCAGGATATGACCATTTTGTCACAAAATATTGCTTTTAATCTTTATGTGATTCTAAGGCTATTTCAACATCGTGATTAAACACTCCCAAAAAGCCATAATTTCGCCAACAATCACCAAAATTGCAACATTAAAAAGGAAGTAACGAAATGTTCCTTTACAGTCAAAACAGTTTATTTTTTACCACAATCATTACGCTATTAAAAGCCTTTACCAGTTATTTAAAGTTCAAGGAGCTATCTGATCTAATCTTATATGTTTTCGATGCTTGTATACAATATAAAACATAGTAATTAATGGTGTACCTATACTTCATTTTAACACGCATATTTTTAATGGTGACTCAACTAAAGTTAGAAATTTCCTTCTAGAAGGCACCAGGCCCACTAACATAGGGTAAAATGCGAAGGAGTTGGTTATTACCGGTTTTCTGGAGGACTGTTGTATCAATCCGCTCCACGGAGCCACTAGCATGGCTCTCTCACAGTTTTCAGGAGATATGCCATTTGAGTCGCCTTTTTGTAGAGATTTCTTAACCACTTAATGTAAAAACAGCGTTAATCTTACATGTCTTCTCCAGAATTTGACCATACAGAGAATTTGATGAGAGATAGTCGAAGAACAAATACCAAATTAAACAACTTTGTGCAAAAGTCTAAGCTGTTTAAGCTTCTATTTTTTCTGCCCCTTTCCCAATTCTATTTGAGGTCGGCGCAACGTGTAACACTGGAAAGGATTTTGGCTGGTTTCTTTAATAATCGACCTGCCTGACGCCAAGCCTTCTCTTGGAAATGTTATGTTTTCAGACGAGACGGCGGAAGAAAATAAATTGCGGCAAGGAAAACGGATAAAGGTAGCTCCTTCGCTCTATCTGTTTTCCTTGGGTAAGGAATATCGCAAAATATCAGATGGGAAAGGATCTGAGACCCCTCTAGTCTCAGCTTCTTTCCAATATGAGACTTGAGCTGCTAAGCTCTAGAGGTCGGACCTGTGACCACGGCCGGTGCAACCTGGTCGAAACGTCAGGCAAACCAGAGGTATGTAATACCCTAAATAAGAGATCGCGTTAATTCCCGTTAAATAATATTAATTATCTAGAGGTCGGAGTTGTGAACCAGTGTACTTTGCCTAACTCCTATGTCCAGCAGTGGACTATCAAATTCTGTTGATGGTGATACTTTTCCTGGAACACCACTAAAACAAGGCAATATTAAGTTATAAGTATAAATATATAAATAATATGTTTAAGTATACCGCATGGATGGCGTAGCGGTCACCTCGCCGCTTCCTACTACGCTGAGACACACAGACATGGCTCCACATGGAACACTTTGTGTAATCTACAAATGGTTATTCTGAGTCTGGGTGTTCTTTGTGTTCGTTTTATGTATGTTTTTAAAGGCCCACAGGATATGCTCCTAGTGCGGGAGTTATCTTCTTTAACAAAAAATTAAATATTATAGATTTTGTGTCTATAACTCAGACATTAAATGATCATAAATTGTCAATGCTCATTTTATGTCTACAAAGCTCTATGTAATACGTCATAGAAGAGTTTTATTGTTACTAGGAGTAAGCTTACACAACATTATTTCAACTAGACAAGTGTCTTACTTCATTCACGTATTAAGTTCGTACTTGTCGCTAAAAGGCAAGGTCTCGAACATAGCTTTTCTATTCTATCCACATAAGGTGATAAATACCTCGCTGTATGTGCAAGATCAGCCTTAAGCAGGGTGACATGTCTCAGCGTTGCAAAACATAGTGCAATGAGACGTGAATAAAGAGATTAATTTTGCATTATCTGAAAGACAAGGCCAGACAGAGCCAGGAACAAACTCATCTGTACCAATAGTTTCAACCACGGGACACTTCATATAAGTTAACGTGCCATAAAGCTTTATGCAGTATTAGTGAATATCTGCAATTTTTTTATATATATATTTATAAAAATGTAAAGTTGGTTTGTGTATGCTTTAAGAACTCAAAAAGAACAGTGTACGCGAAGAAGATAATTGCTTCTCTATTTTAAATGTACTACGCTATTTAGAATAGTGTTGCGTTTGACGCGTCTCGAGACTTCCCGCCGAGTTTGATAGATACAAAGTCGGCGGTCAAGTCAGTAGGGCATCCCTGAAATACCCATTTAAGTAAAGCTGTATAGTAAGCACATCGTTTTGGATTAAATTAATAAAAATAACTTCAAACATCTCACATACGGCCGTCTGATCCCAAACAAGGCAAAGCCTGTGCTGTGGTAACCAGACTGCTGATAAATATACTTAAATGAATGTATCATTTTATAGACAAATCACACCCAGACACAGAACAAATGATCGTTCTCATCGCAGAATACGCAGGCCAAACCTGGAAGGGAATCAAACCTATGCTTGCCGGCTTAGCAGTCAGGATAACTTGTCGCTATAGTCAAATTAATATGCAAGAAGTTTCATACTTATAGAGATAAAACCAATTTAAGCTACTTATTAGTATATTACTTATTGATAATTTAAACATACGGGTTATGTATTATAACTATTTATAACACTGACAAACTTATTTCCAAATCAAAAACGATATCGTATTTCTTAGGCCCAGCTATTTTCGTTAGTGCATACCTGTTCCTGCCTCAACTGTAAAGTCCTCGATCGCGGACAGTAGGGGACCATTCGCTCGTACCCTACAACTCTTAAGCGGTTTTCTTCAAACTTTAAGTATACTGTTCTCATGACCAAGAGTAGAATGAAGAGCAAACTGGTTAATATCAACAGTGTGGAAGGCTTTATACTGAAGTTTTGAGACCGGCGTCCAGACCTTTTTGGATATAATATTCTTCGAAGACGGCTGTGTCGGGCACGTTTCCGAAATAATAACATTTAGGAGTACTTTTCTTAGTGCGTCAACAAACTTGCCGTAGGTTGCTCCTCTGAAACATAAATAGTTGTGAAGGGAATATAAAGTAGTCGTTATGATTTTTAGACGTAGAGCGTGGGATCTTGAGAGTTTACTTTAATACGTCATGAGAGATAAAAAATAACAATATACGAGTATTACATAATAAGCATCACGTTATATTAATAAAATGTAGAAAATTTACTTCATAACATTGGTTGACGATACACATATGTATAATATACTAGCTATACCCTACAACGCTTTACTGGGGTACATTATACAATACATAAATACAATCTTTGAAGCGAGTTGTATATCTTGTCACAATTTCAGCTCAATCGGTGCGGAACTTTTTTAAATTTTGAAGCGTATACAAACCAGCAGAATTTATATTAATATACTAGTTGAGACCCGCGGTGTTTCCCTGCGTTTGTTGTAATAACCGCGGGCAACGCCGCCGGGCGAAGCTAGTCTAAAAAAAGTAGCCTAAGTTACTCCTTATGTCATTAGGTATCTGCCAGTGAAAGTCCCGTCGAAATCGGTCCAGCCGTTCATGAGACTACCCGGAATAAACAAACAGACAGACAGACAGACAAAAATTGTAAAAAATGTTATTTTGTCATATGTACCGTGTAAACATACATATGCATTTAGTAAAAAGCGGTTATTTTAATATTACAAACAGACACTCCAATTTTATTTATTTGTATAGATATAGATATTCATATACGATCACGCCTACATCTTCGAAGGAGTAATCAGTGGCGTGTTAAACGCTCACATTTTGTCGACTATAATTTTAATCTCACTTGTGTACCAGGGGGTTATTGTATTGTCTGAATGACGACGTATGAAAGAAAAAAGTTTGTAAGATGGGAAGGCAATGGTAGCATCATTAACAGCCTTTAATAGCCCACTACTGGACAAAGGCCTCTCCTTAGAAAGGAGGTTTTGGCCTACTATACCGCGCTGGCCAGACGGTTTGGTACAGGGTTTGTTTCAAGTTTTCCTTCTCTTTGCAGTGCTATGGTCCTGCGCGGTTTGTTCCCTTAGTCGCCTCTTACGACACCCACGGGATGAAGAATATTCTTGATCCGTCACCACACAGTAGTGGCAGAATAGAATAATTTATTTGCAAAAAATAATCTGTCAATATTCACAATCAAATTTAAATCACATCACGTTATATATCAAAATACATTTAAAGTATGTGATGAAATTCAAAAATTAAGACGCCTAAAAGGAAGGTCATATCGGGTCTTTAGGTTGGCAATGGAAGGTCCACTCCAACTTATTAACACGACCGTTATCATAAAATAACTGTCATTTACACTCTTAGGGCGTATTTGTTCAAAATCTTACTAATTTTCTTTGTTTCCTTATACAATTTTTCTTCGGAAACAAATTTTCTCTAAGAGAGTACGTAATTGTCGTTCTATGGCAGCCTGTAGTGCCTTGAGTAAGTGTAGTAGTGGAGATTATTCAGTTCCACCTTCCTCATACTTTTTGTCTTCCTAAATAAAGGGACGGAGGTTAAAAATAAGAACAAAGAAAAGCGCTTACCTCAGTGTGATCCCGAAAATGGTACATTAAATAAAGGGACCTAAAAATTACAACGACGACTGCAAAAGCTCCGGTCCACGCCAACATGTCGCCGAATTTGCCCATGCCATATCTTTTGCCTCGTCCAAATCTCGACTTTGAAACCCTAAACACTTGGTAGCATTGCTTAAACATTTCTGGTAAACAGTTAATACCTTTTACGAATCAACATTACCTATAAAGAATTGACTCATTTATTTTGGTTTGCATTTTTAGATGTTTCATAACTGTTTTAATTATATTGTACTCCCCATGGTGTAGTATTACGTGGTTTATTACAAGATTTAGATATTTTTTTTGTGTTACGACATGTTTATCTGACAGTAACTTGTGATCTTTTTTATATAGCAATAATATTTTTGGTATTTTTCATGGGTAGTTGTCATTTAACATTTAGTTATGATAACAACCTTTATGGTGTCTGTGGTTCTACTACAGCTTGATTCGAAATCCTTTATTAATAAATTTTTTGTAATGCTATTTTGTAATACCTGAAGGTATTTATCGAAATCCTTTATAGATATATTTTATGTAATGCTATTGATTGATTGCATTAATATTGATTGCATTTAATGATTTGTTTGTAAAAAACAAACAAATCATTAAATGCATAAATATTACACAATATGTATTTTTGTTAAAATTAGTATGGTGTAAGTGTTTTTTGGAAAAAAAGGTGTAGGTTAAGCAAAAGGTAAGCAGGTCTTATCAAACTAAGTCAAGTAATTTAAAAAATACGACTTTATAAAATTAATAATTTCTTTATCCCAATACCTATTTAACCATAGACTACATAGAGAAACAAATTTACGGTCGCGTGATCAGTGGCGGCGCCATCTGCTGGGACAAATTCGAGACAAGAAGGTGGCAGGAAATATTATCATTTTTCCTTGATCTCTGAATGAGTTCACAAAAATAACCATGTTTATTATATGTTACAGTAATTAAGGCACACGCTGTCACATTTGAGTAAGCTTGTAACAATAATGCTGGTGAGAAGTAAATAAAGAAATAAAATATATTAAGCTATTTAATTGTCATTACCTTTTCAAAATACTCAGTATTATAAGTATAACATGAACTACTAAGTCCGTTTTTTAAAAATAGATTAGCATTTTAATATTTTTTTATTTACATATTAGGTTACTTACTGGGTCGCATATAAATTCTTTTTTTTTTAATTACTTACACATATATTTATATAAGCTGGTAGGCTTATGATGATGACGGTATATTTATTATTATATTTACGTTCTAGTAAATATATAAATTAAATTTTGATAAGATTTATTAAACATTTTTTTTAAATAAATAGGTAGCACAGAAGCAGTTTATCTTTGACATCTTTACGCGTAGAAGAAATACAGAAAGCTTTTTTTTTTTGTGCTATATGTAAAAAGGGTACGGGAATTTTTAGGGGTCCTGTATATTCTGAATTGTCGTGGTACAAAATTTAGTTCAACACAGTTCAAGTTATTCTGGTCGTATGAATAAAACAAGACTACCTCACCAGACGCTCTAAATTGGACCAATATGTGATCTCTGGTATAGTATTTTTATTAAGTGGTAGTTTGCATAATAGCTTATATTCTTTTTTTGATAGAGGGGGCAGACGAGCAGACGGTTCACCTGATGGAAAGTGACCATCGTCGTCAATATTTCGTTGTAATGAAAAAAACTGAGGTTTATCCAAGATTTTATCGGCATAGTTTACAAAGATAAGTATCGAAAGAAAGTATTTTTACAAAACAACAGTCCTTGACATATCTGGAACAAGTCATACGCTGTGGCAACACGCATGCGCGATTGACTGGAGGTTTTATTACCTTACATGATTATAAAACTACCTCTATTTCGAGACAATAAGGCTTAAAATCAAGTGCTACAATGTCAATTGTACAGGTTTACTTGTGATGCGGCCCGCGGCTAAGTTATTCGTTTCGGTTTCGGAATGTACCTACATTATCGTAACATTTTACTGGCCGAATAACCAATGCGTCCCTTGCCTCGGTTTGTTTGTTTGACATGTGTCATTGGTGTCGCTCAATTTGGCGCCAATTTCTTCATGTTTTTCTTTTAGACTTTTAGATAGGCACGCGTAAGGCGTTTCGTTTAGAATTTTAATAATATCTTCTACACGATGCAAGTAGTTGGGGCGGGAAAAGACGCTGGTTATTTGTGTTAGTAGTACGCATAAGTTATTTGCTCGTTTTTCGATATATTGTACATGATGTTTGGTTTACATGCCTTGCTCATTTAACTGTTATCTCTGCCTACCCCACAGGAGAAAGGCGTGAAATTATTTACCTACGTGTGTTTTAAGTTTATGACGTCATTAAACCCGCTGAGCCGTTAATTCATGTTACGATTACCGCAATTATCATAATTATCTGTGGCATTAGGGAAAAATCTCAATTAACAGTGAATATTTACATTATATAAGACCTTACTTTCATTTTACACTTCTTAGTTATGTATGTCTTTATTATATACTTATTGTTGTATAATATTGTACCTAATTAAGAAAATACCACGCCCTCACGGGAACTGCTATTATCATCATCATCGTCACTTCAACAGCCTTTAATAGTCCACTGCTGGACATAGGCCTCTCCTTAGAAAGGAGGTTTTGGCCTACTATATCACGCTGGCCAGACGGGTTGGTATAGGGTTTGTGTCAAGTTTTCTTTCTCTTTGCAGTGCTGTTGTCCTGCGTAGTTTGCTCCCTTAGTCGGCTCTTACGACACCCACGGTATGAATAGGGGTGGCGACACTCCGTATTCTTAATCCGCCACCACACGGAAAACTCCTATTATAATAAGAGCTAACGATGATGCTTGAAAAGAGGCTGATCAAAACCGACCACAGTCTTCAATGATCTTCTTTTTAGAATGATGAAGTCGGCACCTCAACAGTCGTGATATCAAAGGAATGCAATAATATAATTATATGCTTGACTTTGCTTGGCTTGGCTTGATGGTTAACACGCCTAGAATGTATGGTGTATTTAGAGGATTCGATCCCGTTCGATTTTTATAATCCCGGGATTTCGGGATTATCTACAGTTAATCTCGGGATCCCGGGATAGTCCCGGGATTGTTTTAGCAATGGAAAGTGGTAACAAAAAGACAGTAAAACATATCAAAATATTTTTTTTATTTTTCATTTAGTTTTGTGAGGACATAGAATATTTAAGTTTTAAATCTCCAAAAAGGCGGTTAAACAAAATTATACTTTCTTCTTATAAAATAAACAAACTAGTGCCTAGTTTGTTTTGTGTTTCGGTAAATAATTTATGAAACTAGACATCTTTAGACTTATTTAAATAAACTATAAAAAAAAACTATATGCTTAAGAGACCAATGTTTATAGATATTACCTACTCATATTTTTAAATTAAATTGCCCAGAAACTTTATAAATTACACACTTTTACGCATAATTCAGAACCGGTTATTAGCAAAAACAAATGAAATCAGCTGTGTAGACAAGATGGCTGTCAAAACATCAAATCAGGGCAAGGGCGTTTCTTTTTACGCACATTTTTATTGACTTATGTAAAAAATGTATCAATCCCGAAAATCCTGGGATTCATTAAATTTGATCCCGAAAATTTCGGGACTAAAATATGACCGGGATCCCGGGATCGAATCCTCTAGGTGTATTGTACCTTCTTCTCTCTTACTAACTAAAGTTTTATGGTATAGGGGGACCAACACACAGCAGATGGGTTACCAGATGTTAAGTGACACGAGCACGAAATTAAACCCCGAAACAGTGCGGTTGCCACATTGACGAATATAGCTTTTGAAGATCGTATTTCAGATATTGTTTAGATAAAAATCATCATATGTGCCTCGTGATGCAGAAAAGATATATTATATTGCGGCCATGAAATATAATATTAGACATACATTTCGAACAAAAAATGCGTATATTATTTACATATAATCATATTTCATACGTTTTTAGTTCCTCAAATACCGCCAAGTGGAACCAATTTCAAAATGTTTATACATACAGATCTAAAAATGTGATAGTTACACTCATAAATAGAAGGGAAATTATTGTTTTATCTAATACCTAGTTTACATGCGTGCCGAGGCTTGGCAAACGTCCACAAGCTCCAAGTGTTGACAAACGCTTGGATGCCATTTACACGCTTGCGAGTGAGCTATTGTGTACCGGACAAGCAAACATAGGAGACGTAGACATATTTTTATTCAAAATATAAGCGGCGGCACCAAACTACAAAAAACAAATCTCTAGCCTGAATGCTCAACTAAACTGCTCAATCAGTAGAGCATTGAGACTTAATGTTGATTCCCGATTGCTTAACTACAATATTTGTAATATCTTTAACAGTAGGGAACAAGAACGCGCCGTGTAAATACGTCGCAAACGCTTGCCGCGAGCTTCCTTTGATCTGTGTGAAAAACCGACGCTTCCTTTGATCTGTGTTCAAAAACCGACACTAGTACCGATCGACGACGAGCATTCGCGAGCCAAGCCAAACACCCCGTTTACACGCTTGTGTTTGTGGACACTTGTCGAGGCTCGCCATGAGTGTTAACGGCCTATAAGACATTTTATCACATCACATCAACAGCCTTTAATAGTCCACTGCTGGACATAAGCCTCTCCTTAGAAAGGAGGTTACTAAGACACTTTATACTTTGTCTTAATTTAGCAATACAATTTTAAAACTTCTGCAAATGATAGTACTGTGTGTTACCTACGTGCAGCCGTTACTGCATTACTCGTTCTGGCATGCATTTACACTAACTTTCTAATACGAATTTGTGGAATATTCCATCCTCTATCCGAAATTTTGAGCTGTCAATGGATCAGATAAGGGTTTCGTTGTCTTAAGTGTCGTAAGAACTGGTCCCAAGCATGCTCTAAAGGGATGAGATCCGGTCTGCATGCTGGCCAATCCATCCACTTTACCTCTTGAATGCAGTAACTCCTGACCCGGATTCGTTGATCTTGAGTAGCTTATCTTACTCAGTAGTAACACGTTCCTATTAGCTATTATAATATACAGTACAAACAAATGATTCATAGAAATAGATACAAATAAACCGGACTTAAGCGACCTTCAAAGGCTGCGTATTCCGTAGCTTTGCTTGTACG